GACTTTCTACCGCTGGGAAAGTATCATTTGTGCAGTCGTGAAGTTGCCGGCAAACATCGTTACAAGCCATTAGCAACATTTCTGCCATACTTCGAGGGCGGTATTCGAAGTTGCAACGAGCAACTGCTTGTGATTGCTTTTCTACATTCTGTAACTATTGCATATTTGCATAATGAGAAGATTTCAATGCTACAGATATCGTTAAAATTTGTATGTGTGCGTTTTCCCAATATTAGACTTACCCTTCTAGTTTATGTTGGTATGTACCTATGTCGATCTCAGAACCGGTCGTCAATCCAATGAATGAGTATGGTTTTTATAAGACTCGCTTAATTAATTAGCATGCATCGTTAAAAAACAAAAAATACAATAATAAATTACGACGATCATAAAATTTTTGTTCCTGCGAATTAGAGTACTAGCTGATTTACTACGACGATTTTTACAGCGTCGTGTCCGACTTGTGTTGAGATTTATAGCATTTAATCTCCTTCATCAGATATTGTAGGTACTTATTACTCAAACAGGCAGCAGAATGGGAGTGACCACAATGCAATATCAATTAGAAATTCCTCAGTCTCGGCGATATTATAAGCGGGGCGGCCGACAATTCGTCATTCTGTATAGACATTATTTAGACTAGTATCGTATTGTCGAATGTTTGTGAGCGGAGTCGTGATACTCATGATATTGTGTCGCACGCGCCGCCTGCCGCCGTGACGAAGGCGGCTGGTATGCGGCGTGATTCAAACGGAAACCCTATATATTCAGTGTTTATGCAATCCGCTGTCCGTCCGTCCGTCACTTCTACAGACAGCATGCTACATTGAATTGTATAAATAAAGTTGTTTATTTTGACTGATCAAATTATTTCGCACTGGTATTCTAGTCCATTGATATAAAGAGACCATTCTAAATAAAACGTGCAAATAATTTAGTGAAGGATTTTTAAGATATAAGAGCAGTTGGTGTCAGAAGATCTTTATTATTCAGATCGAGGCACTTAATGTGTGTATGTTCTCAAGTCTCAAGACGAGCATGAGACCTTGGTGGGAATGACGTGACGTGCGTTTCAACAACACAGTTCACACTAGGCGTTGGAATGTCGTTTGTCAATGATCGAATAACGCGTGACGTCATATCGTCACATTAGCCTGCTGCGTTTACAATCAATACATAATTACCACTTTCGAACGATTGCCGTGGCAATTTGGTGGATAAATTCGGTGATTGGTCGTGACGCAAGACGTGAACAATGTTTATATGTGTGGTTACTTTAATGCATGGTTCGGTTCAGATACAAATTTTATATTCACGCATTGGATCATCCGGTCGGCATGCTTCGACGAATCCATTGCAAGTTGTGTTTAATTCGATTATAACGTTGTACGAATGTGTCAGCTGAACGGAATGCGAGAGGAAATCATGTTGACCCCTAACACGATTCCTTTTTCGGTCAGGTTTGTAATCTTCCTGTCCGTGAGTATATTTCAACGACGCAAATGAAGACTTATTTAAATACATAGGATATCTGACATCACGTCGTCGGAATTTACTTATTAACTTTGTAAGGAACAGGTTATTCACCTTATACTTTATTAGCTTATTATCCTTAGCCATGTCTACTGACACAGTTTCACATGACAGATTATCTTACGGACTGAAATCTAAGTGGGGCAATGCCCTCTTGGAGTAAAGGAGTAAAAAAATCGAGATTGTTCCGTAGCCCAAGGAATGTGCATTAAACGGGCCATCCGGATTAAAATATTTCCCTGGCGGTATTTATAGAGCATTAGTAGGTGTGCGTGTTCGTCTGTCGGTCGGTCGATATGTGTGAGACAGCATGGCACCGCCTCCCACCAGACGTGCTCCAAGTTTGTCGTAATCCAGGATTTGGTCATTGGACTTTCGAAATGATAATTGGATAACACATGACTAATAGTCTAATCATTTAGATTTACGGTGAGCCCGTTGATTCTTTGGCGTGTTGGGAGACGTTAACGAGATTTGGCTGATATATCGTTTTGAAATCACTTCTGTTTTTAAATATACCTATGGAATTGAATGAGTTTTTATACCTGCAAAGGAGTTAAAATCTGCAGGGGCATGTAACTAAATAGTCCAAAGCGGGCAGCAACCTTCGTGTTTCTATTTGTGGCTGCTGAACGGCGGTACATTGGCCTTCTCCCGCGCTATTTTCCAATGAGACTGTGATGCACTGGCATATCGCACAGCATAGCTCGCGGATTTATTCGCATCGATTACGCGATACATGTGTGAACTCAATTCTGTTGCGAACTGTATAATATTATATGTAAAAAACTTGTACAGAGAATGAAGTAAAGTAGAACAAATTATATAATTGTGCGTCGGACGTGATTTCAAAAAAGAGTGCAATGTTTTTTGTACATAATAGTTTTGTTTAGTTGTTCGGTGCACAGAATCTACTAGTTGTGCGTCTATGGCTAATTATGATCTCATTATACTACAAATAATGAGTTCAAATGGATATTCATTTAAAGTCACAATATTACGATTTTCCTTTAGTTTTTATAAAAGTACATGTTAATACTTTAATGATATTTAGCGCTAGAATTATTTGATTTTGGACAAATTCGCTTCTGTTCAAACTCGCCGCGCAAGACCGGTAGCAAAATTCTTAAACACGGCTATAGATGGCGTTGTGCTTAAATAGCTTAAATATCGCTATTTCAAAAGATGTCTTGTTTTGATTCTCTACGTTTTGAAAATACATAGTTTGATTTTGCATGACAGTGCTTCTGAGGTTTTTGGAATTCCACTTTTTAAGATAGCAGTGTTAAAATCTTATCATCAAAGATTGCCTTAACAGTTTCATTCGTATAACAAAGTGAACGCAACAATATTCATTATCACTGATAACTTTTTCGTACATGCTATCTAAGGAATGCGACCTTATGCTGTAAAAATATTTATTTGATTACCAACTTTTGTTATCGTACTCATGTTTGGTAGCGAATTTTTTGAAACAAAACCAGATACAATTAAAACATGTACAATTGTTTATAGAATAGAATAACACCAATAATACTGTCACTGGTATTTGATTGTAGCCGGTGTTTCGTTTACGTGGGTGCGTCCGCGTGTGTGTGAAAGTGTGGCTGTGTGTGCGGCTAGGGATTCCGTGACACGGGTCACCGTTTCCGAGAACTCGACTCGTCTTGACGTCCCGCTGACAGGACTGGTTTTGCCGTTCTCCCATAACGCAGCAACATTGTTTCTCTATTTGTCTCGCTCACTTTTACTACTTTTGTATCTCCTTCTTGCTCTCACAGCGATGCATTGGATGCGCACACGCACGCGCCCTCTATCCCCTCACCTCGATAAGAGTGATCGTGTTTTGAAATGGACGCCGCATTCGGTAGCTGTGCGGAAGGAGTAACGAATTCCCATTGAAGGCTTACCCCTCTTGACTTTGTCTCAATAATTTGTTACAACAAAATAAAAGATGTACACCAAGCATTCTTTTACAGCTTGATAACTATTAGGTACAATCTTGAATGCAATAAATGCTATTATAATTATTGTTAAAAATATACACATTTTAATGGCAGTTAAATTGAGCCGTAAGGTGTTTAGTGTAATTGCATGTGAATATAACCTTACACGAAGTTATACGCACTTATTAAACAGCCTTTACTTGATTGCTTACTGTAAAACAACCAGCAAACGGTAAAACAGAATCACGCGAACATCGAAAACGTCGATTTCAAAAGTTGCACGTACACCGGACTGGACATAAACGTGGCCAATTAACCGAAGAATCTTATTTAATAACCGACTACCGTATAAACGCCATATTAAAAGTCACGAAAACCGTTAAGTGGGATGCGTATGAGACACGGCGTTCGGTTGATTTCGTCACCATCGGAAATGCGAGTGTGTCCGCTTTTTGTTGGTGAACTGGTTGTACGTGAATCATGATCGAAATTGTAGCAGCAGTGGAGCAGGTCGCCGGCGCCAGCGCACCACGCCCTGCGCGCGCCAGCTCCCGGGCACCCGCATCGCCCATCATTAATTATTCTCATGCCACAACCTGCCTGTATTATCTGCACGCCTAGGCACAACTTGAATCTAGAAACTTGCACCTGTTTTTTGTTCGATACTATGTTTTATCTATAATTCCATCGAGCTTGTAACATTACATTTTAAATCAGAAATCTTTAATGTAAAATACGTTCTAGCTTGGAATTCTGACGCTATTTTCTTCAATGTTCTATATAATGGACCAATTCGTAACCTAATTGCCTCGATTTTGAACGATGTGATTGACCAACGAGGTGCTATTTCGACTAGTATAAATCCAATGATATTGACCGCGTCCTCTTGATCCCGTAACTTTTAAATTGATTGAAGGCTAAACGATTTGAACGGTCTGGTGATTAATCTATTTTCGAACTGGTAGCTCTTAAAGACACAAGATATCGGTGCTGAACTTTTGTGAGACGTCTAAAACAAAATTGGTTGATTTAAAGGAGGTCAGTTGCATGTTTACACACAGTGTAAATACGGAATCATTCGAACCAGTCCACGTACCAAATGGCCAGTGAAATTATTCAGTCGAAAGATTCGAAATAATAACTGGAGCTTATTATTATTTTACCTTAATGATAGTTATGGAAGCGCGGTAATAGGCTCGCCCTTGTTCGTGGGAAGAACGTTGGTTTGATGTTGATGCTTCTACGAGAAACTTTTTTGTTTGTATTTGCTTGAAGTTCTGTTTTTTATACGTGCACGACACAAGCCAATATTTTTAGATACGTTATTAAAGAGAGAGTTAAATCTTATAATATTGGGAAGTGTAGTATTTGACTTTTAACTAAATGCTGATTTAACATTAAAACCTAACCTATGATAAGCTTATTGTCTCAACATATCGTGAGAATAAATTCCCAAATAGCTTCAATTCTAAAATCATATAAGTGTTTCCTAGACTCTACAAAAAACGTTTATTGTTCCAGATATACTAAGCCACAGACATTCGCGGACTGCATTGGCAATGAGCTGCCTCTTGGATGGGAGGAGGCTTACGATCCACAGATCGGACGATATTACATCAACCATGTCAATCGTAAGTAACACCTTTTGTTTACTTGAGACTTTTTATTCCTGTACAAATTAAACTCCATAGTTCATTATTCGGTCGACCAGTACATGTGTTTACTAAGTATCGTGAATTAGGAAGCTAGCGGCACTGTTATGCATACTAATAAGAAAGTATTTTTAGACATTGACTACATCTTGAAAACCAGTCCCATTTGTAGCTAGTCTTTCGAAGTTTTCGTCTGAGAAATTTACCTATATTAAGATTAGCATACTGAGTAGCGAAATAGTGGGCCCGTACTAACAATGTAATAATTCATTTTAGCACAATGAATTGTTTGTACCGGTTACAACAAGCTAACTCTTATTTATTATCCTCTGGATTATTCAGTATGTCGGGTGAAAAATGTACTACGCGGGGGGCTTATGAAGGACCACGGTGCTTTAGTTATTCCCTATGAATTATTGAACAGGTTGATTCATGTCTAGCCTATAGAATGTTGCGGCTGTTACGGCCACCATCTTGAATTCGATATTTGAAATCGAAATGCGCAAGAGTTTTAACGTCACACCACGAAAAATAGATGGCGTTGCGCGTACGTTCGGATGCACGTCCATGCAGTCGTGACTCGTAGATATATGTTTTTATGTGAATCCTTAGATTATTCTATGGCAGAGCACTAAATAAGTCGTGTTATGAATGGAATGCTTACGTATCGTTTATTTACGCAAATGCATCTTCGTGAGTCGTATTGAATTGATTAGCCGTTGCATAGATATTGCTTTGCTACCGCGTAATCTCATATACAGATAAAACAAACGCGTTGTTTTGAATTTTTAATACATTTCTATAATAAGCTTAGAAATGAGAAGGTGAAGCGGAGTTCAAGTATTGAAAATGTCATCGAATAGTTCTATGACTCTCAAAGTTCACAGAAATTGCAGCAAAACTTATAATTTAGTTCCTAAAACTGTGATACAAATTATATAATAGATACAACGGTAAATTGTTCCTAAAGAAGAAATTCAAACCCAGTTTGTAAATAGCTTCTAACAAGGTTTATGGCGAGCGTCGAAAAGTTCCAACACTACAATATACCTAGTTACCTATCTGCAAAGTGCTATAAAAGGTAAAAAGGCAATAATGACTGCGCTATAAGATGGAAAACGCGCGATATCTGACGACCCGCGAACACCCGATAACGGTGTGCGCAAACGCACGACGCGACGTACATTTTCGCACGACGCTCACGCATTCTTATGCATTATTTATAAAGACCGTAGAACTTTTCCGCCATTTTCTTACTTTTTTTCGAGACCACCCATCAACGCGAACTGATCGGATCACCTTTTGATCGAAGCTTGTTAGTTTTTATGTATTTTCAGTGTTAATTTCTGAAGAAATGTGTGCTAAGCCATTTTCTACAGTACTAGTCGCTGCCATTTAAGAAAAACCGTTTTAATTCTCATGATAAACTTTGTAATGTTATTTCATCTAATTTTTCACGCACGTCACCTCTAGTACTACTTAGTACTAGACTAGCGTTTCATGAACCTATGAAAAATTATCAATGTTATTATTAAAATAATATGAATGTACACCTACATACATTCATACCTATGTATGAATTACAATGATTATTTATATTTATACCCGATTTCAGACGGTGCTTATCATCAATGTTTATTGTGATAAGATTAATACGACTTTCGATAAAATTCTCTGAATTTTCATGACTATTACCATATTTGGTCATTGTGTAACGTTTTTGCACGAGACAATACACGCCTTTTTGTTTTAAGGATATTTTTCAAGATTCCTAGTAATCTTGGCCGATATTTTTGTATGAAGTCATCGCTAAAGTTATAAATAGTAGATAGTAGAATTCGAAAAAAAAAGAATGTGTGATGGATGATGAACTAAATCGATTTTTGATCGAATCATTTCCATTATTTTTACTGGCATGTATTCATGTTTTAATATACAATTATTGAAGCATCGAACAGTGGCAATTTCAAGTTTATTTTAACTGCACCACCATTTATGTTGTCGACTGCAAAACATATGTACAACCAAGCAAATAAATTCTCGAAGCTCATTAAAAGTATTTGCTAGGCAATGTTACACAGCCTCGTATATTTGTCTTCAGTTAATTTATACATACGCATCCAGAACAAATTATGCAAAAAGATTCAAATAGGGTCCATTATTGCTCATTTCATTAGATCCTATCACAAAAGATAAATAGTCTAGAGACTTTTTTAAATTATACGCCATTTAAATACCCATTTTCTGTGCGCGTAACTTATGTCATTACTTAAACTGATTACGGTTTAGATATTTTAATTTAATTTAAACATGTCGAGACTAAATTGGATGTTTATTAAAGTGCTGTACGGTGGGGTGCTATTCTCATAAGTTGTCGGCTACATGCGTCGGCGCAGCTATGCGTCACATTTACTATTCTGTCGTGTTGTGCAGGGTTGCTATGGCAACGGTATATGCTCACTGTTGAGAGTTCTTACACTGAATATGTAGGTAAAGTGTAGTTAAGTATAATAACAATTCCTGCTAATACTAAATCAGAGATATTTTCATACAATTAAGCAGAATTATTATTTATATTAATTTTATTTTCCTCGTGACACGTAATTACATTTGTGTCAATGAAAAATACTTTATTGAACTTATTGTTAATATAATTTAATACCTACGTGGTCGGGCGAAAAAAGAATTACAAGGACGATCTGCTGGAGCAGAATAGCTCAAAAATGCTTTGTATATTCATAAATTCCTGCACAGTAGCCCTACACTGTCCATTTGCAATATTCAATGCAAAATGCAAATGACTCCCAACTCGTTTATGGTAGCCATGGTGTTTTACGCGTGTAGATCCGTCGATAGCATACCCATAGCATAGGCGCCATCGCATAAATTCTAGGCAATGTTAATTGATAATTAAAACTATTTATTTCATTGTATATTATTGGACATTAATCCATTAATCATTTTAAGATTATCTTCAATTATATTTTAACATTCATTGAGAGAAATAGAAAATACCTTATTGCTGTTTGCTTAGAAATTTCCTCATTAAACACGTCTTAAACTATCTAGTGTTATAAGAGATATAAGTACTAAAACGGTTTTTTAAAAGCATGAAATCTAGAATTCTACTAAGTTTCGTTGCACTTCTAGTGATCTGTGTGACTAGTGTTATTTTTAACAGACACAATTTTGTTTTAATAATACCGAAAACAACAAATGACACATTTCCAATTAAACAACAAAGTGTTTTGGTAAATAAAAAAATTCAGTGGAACACTGATCAAGATCGAAAGCCTTATCGGAAGATATGCAAAAATAAAACGCAACTCGATAATAAACATATCAAACCAAAGAAAACCGTAATAAGCTTTCTTTATAAATGCATAATAATGTTGATCGCGAAGAAATTCCTGATTAAACAGTAACACGTACCGCATATCTGCCTGCAGTTAAGCACGTACCCATAATAGCGAATTATGGTCCAACTGGCGCTGTAAAATGGCTAAATAATGCGGTCAAATTAGATATGAAAATGGGGCATTACAAATATTTCCCCCCTGTCGTTTGTAGGCTCGAGGAGTGCCTTGCGCACACCATTAAACATTACTCATCAGACTTCACTAACGTCATTGATCGTTAACGTAATAATGATTATAAAGACTCATCTGCGTCATGCTCCTCTAAGTACGCATTTTTCACATTAAACTTGTAGCGTATAATTTATAAATATGTACTTTGTTATTCAGAAATACGGCTCCTTTTGTTTCAATCCATGCAGGATGTCCACATTTCAATTCCGCCACACAATGCTTTTAACATCTTACTTTATATTACTGGAACCAAATGTATTTTACTTTGCTTCTCTCAGATCCCATATTATCTACAGTCAATATAAATTCAAAGGAATGTGTAGAACTTGCAAGAGAAAATTCAAATTCCTTTTTCGAATTTATTCTTACAGGCAAGCCGTATTTATGAACGTAAAATTAGATGTTTATACCAAGGATTAAAAATCAAATACAAAAACAAAGTTAATAAAGTAATTCGAAATTACAGTAAAGCATTGATTGCAAATGAAAGAGCAAGGCAAATGAGAAATAATTGGCATTTAAACAACATCTATAATCGGAACCGGCTAAGATAATTGCATGGGACCTAAAGATGAAATAAAATTAAAAAGTAACGAACATACCAATTCATAGACAAATTGGCAATGAAATAATCTTACAAGATCAACAAAACATTGACATACTCATTAACGATCGTATCACAGTTCTCAATAGAAAAGGACAAGCTGTAATTAAGTTGGAACTCGTTTAAAGCGAGCGGCGCAATTAATTTTAATATTTTTCTAGTATTTAAGTCTTTGAACCTAGTAGTTGGCTTTGCATACTTGTGTAAATATGCATACGTTATTTTGTTAATGCCTTCTCCACTTTACATATTTAGTTTACAGCATCCATGTTCTTTATCAAGGTATGCGATCTCCCCCATACCTATTTTCTGCATAAGCCGGCAATATTTATACGCTTCATACCACCTTTTATTTTACACCGCGCTGTGTTGAGAATTTCATTTGATACTTTGAATTCGCTTTCTTGGTTAATTGGAACCGAGTGGGTACTTCATTTTGTTGCAAATAATATTACTTTTATGTATTATTTTGAAATGTCTTTCTTGTGGCATTCCGCAAATATCTCTTTCTACCAGTTGTGGTTTAAATTTTCATGGATGCGTTGTTCAAGCATCTACACTTCCTTTTTGCATAAATTGACGCATAATAAATGCAGTTGTTACATTCCCATAGATTCATAGTTGCCTCTAATTCGTGTCTTTGAATATTAATAGTTTCAGTTGTGTGTGGTCAATGTCTACCGCCAAAAGAATTAGAATCACGTGCATTCCCTGTTTGTGGCCCGTCAAGTTTTATCTAACTTTGATATTGTTTATTATCGGTTTTCGAAAGGACCTCTATGAATAATTAAGTGGGACGTGACTTTGATTCCTTTGTTCACATCTTCTGTCTATGAAATATGTGTTGTAATTATATTTTCAGTACACGTTTCGTCTGTGTTTTTTCTCTCCAGACAAAGGGTCGGGTTCTATTAATAGTGGTTTTGCTTGTTAACAATTGTTGTAGTTTATGTGTCTTTAAGCTTGAAGCTTGGTAGATATGTAATATCGTTTAGTAAAATCTCTGTAAAGTCAATGAAGTTTACCTTACCTTACCTTATATTTTAAATTCTTTCAGATTTATCATTACCGTTTCCGTTACCTATTTGATTAACTATTACTTTACCTTCACTACAAACAGTAGCCAAATTACGTAGCAATTTCGACGGCATTGTTTCTCTAATCTGATATAAAGTGAGTAACAATCTGTCTGTGGAATCGCTCCGGCCTTGTCGGGTTCAGAATTGAGAATAATAATTGAAAGATCGCCGCGTGTGTACTTTGGATGTCACGCGGTGTGCGAATGATGGCGGAATGCAGCTGCCCCGATGATGACTGGGTCTATCATTGGTTCCTGTCTCTATGTGCTATATGACTAAATGTGGATCATTTGCTTAGTGTAGGTCGTTTCATTTGATACATGTAGTAAGCGTAGTATCTTGTTTTAGATATTGTACGTTAGTCGCATTTATTCATCTTATAATCATCGTATTACGTTTCTTTCTTATTCCTGTAAAAGAAAGGGTATATAAGGTATTATTATGTGAGGACTGAGGATACATGTAAAAGATTGTTTGTTACGATCAACAATTCGCAAGCACTAGCAGTGCAAGAACCTGTAAAAACAAACCATCAACCAACATTGTTATCCAAATACTTACATAAATACTGAATTTTTAGGTACCTATCAGTTTTTTCGGATAAACGACCGTGAATTGCAATCACGCCGAACCTCGTCCCAAATGTCACTATCGACTGTTAAGGCGATTGCTATCAGTGTTTATTGAATGCCACCATTATCAAACACTACTTACTTCGGTCTCGTCATTAATCGATCGGTAATCGGCGACCGTATCGCATAGTTTGACGATGAGTAATTCTTTAGCCTTAATCTGGTTCGTATAGTGCTTGCGAACGTTTTTTTTCGTCTCAAGTAGCCGAGTACGTGGAAAACGTTATATTTATAATTCCATCATGTTTTTGATTCATAATTAACTTGTTGTATATGAACATAAGTAGATTTATCAACGTAAAGTAAAAGTATTACTATTGATGCTGGATATTTATAAAACAATACGAAACTTATAAAATATTGGTTTATTTGTATAGAGGAATCTTTAAAGGTTATTGTTTTGTTGTTACAGAGGTGACGCAGTTAGAAGACCCGAGATTAGAATGGCTCAGCATTCAAGAAGCGATGCTGAGGGAGTACCTCCATACTGCACAGGAGGCTCTCGAGGTGAGTACAACGTTTTAAAAGACTATAGTAGTCCTTAATATCAAAGTGATATCAACAGAAATAAAAGAAAAGAGAGAGAAAGAAGAATGAATTAAACTTTAATTTCGCAGCTGACCACTAGTTTGTAGTGGCTCATGTTTTGTTATTATCTAATCAAAAGCATTCAAAATTATTAAATCAACTAGAAATACTTCATATATATCTTTTGCTTTCAAGTTAATCATGCCTCTATAAAAATTAATACAACATTTTCTCCCAACAATTTGCCTTCCATGTCTCGAAGCACTCAGCATTAATGGTTTATCTTGCTTCATCAATCGATCAGTTTCATTTTAATGTGCTGATACGAAGGCAATGTTGTCGATAATTTTAACTTGACTTCGTCGTCTATCGAGTGCAGCTGTTGCTTATCGGACATCCATCGATAAACGCTTTACTCGTTCGTATCAGTGGAGCAATGTCATTGGATTTAATTTTAACTCAATTAATTTGTGACGTTAGCACTAGATTGTTGAGATGCTGGTTCGAAATGTTTAAGCGATTTTAGACCTTGGGATCATTTGTAGATTTCGTTGAAATAAGAATATTAAAATTCAACGGATGTTCACTATTAAACTGTCAAACACCAAGCGGTCACCGGTGACCGCGACCTATTGTTCTTTAATTGTGTCTATAAAACCGGTACTCGACGAGTTAATTGTTTTCGGAAGCGAATTAATTAAGTTAGTGACTTTGTAGTCTAGTTAGATGAAATATTTTTACATTTCATTGTATTTTTAAGGAAGGTTGTAGGATATTGGATATCACACTGTGGTGATTGGATTAGAAGTGCGAGAGAAACCGCAAAGCTAGTTAACTACAAGAGAAACATTGAATACAATAATGGTCTACCCACTCTTGGGGGAGGAGCATCTGGCACATGAATACAATATTGACAGTCTGTGGGAATAGAAAACAGAATTAGCCTCGTTTTGTGTGTCATTTGGACTTAGTGTAGCGGTACACGATCATCAAGTTCATGGATTTAAATGTCATTTGGCATCACCATGACCCTTTTATCCACCACGACGCGACATTTTGTGCTGTTATAACCACTATTATCTCCGTCTCACTTAACATTTTCAAAATTTTAAACGTGGTCTTTCAAGGGTCCTTATAATCGAGTGCTTCCTCCAATAAGAGGATAAACAAAATGGTTCAAGTACTGTTAATTTTAAATAATTATCTGGAGTGGAAACGTGATAATATCAGTCTTGCTATTATGCAAGTGAATAGTTAGCAATACATACAATGTATATTGCCATTATCAAAGGTTGAAGCCTTATCTCTTTAGAGCGACGTACACGACACAGATAATGTTATACGTTGTTTGTTGTATTGGTTTACGCACGATAAATGTTTAGATGCAAACAAACAAATTCAGAAAAGTTTTGCACCAGAATTGATTCAGGTTGACATAAATTGACAAAACATATTAATTAAAGGATTGGCAGAAGTCCATCAACTTTCACGCATTAAGTTGAATTCTGCAGAAGAATCAAGTTCTACACTATAATATTGAACTTAGCAATGGCATCGTTTCCATAAAACTGAAAGAAATATAGCAAAGAAGATATTGAAAGGTTAAACAGGCAATTAAAATGTGATGAAATTAAATGAAACTTGGCTATCTATAATTAATGTGCTCGAAGGCACATTAAACACTCGTTTAGTGGCTTCTCTGCCAGATAAGGATGGAATGCGATCGTGCCCTGATACTGAGATAAGAGATAAGTGGTTGCGGTATTGTTTCGAATTGAGCACGCAATGAGACGAGACTTGATGGAGCAAAGTTCAGTCAGGAAGTGAAGTTGGACGCAGTTTAGTTTTAATTTTCTGATGGTTGGATTAAGAAATTGTTGGATAATGTTTAAAAGCTAGATAATAGATAGTTTAAAAGACATTTTTCTGAAGAAAATAACAAAACATAGAAGGAGATGTATGAAAGTTTTTTGATATTTGTTAAAATATCGTTATGGTATCGATTCAAAGAGACGATGTGATGACGATAACAATGAATTCAAAAGCGCCAAAGCCAATGTTGACTTAAAGGTCATTGTAATTTGTTAAGCTAAGATAAACATAAATAACAACAATAAAAGGGCTTTACAAACAATTGTCTGTCTTGCAATATTTACTGCAATTCAAGTGACAAGCTAAGGTTGAAATATACTTCCTTAATTGAGGATTATGACGACAAATATTTGTTCGTGCGAAATCAGGGTTAATTTATATTTTGTGTCATTGAAACAACTGCAGTTAAATGCTATGGTATGTGTTCCAATTAATTCCACATTATTGTCTGAACTTACATAAAGTTGTCTTGATGCAAATCTGGCTTTAAATTTAAGAATTTTTTTGTTACTTTCTCAAGTTTTTTGTGTGAAATCAGAGAAAATGATAAAATTATATGAAAGGCCATTTCGAATAGTTTCCTGTTACCTACGAATACTAGGTTATGGACTTCAAACATCTCACGTCCACATTCGCACTCTGAATACCGTTATCACGACGAATCTGCATTCGTTTAGCGAGAACATACGTGATTTTACCTTCGCATTAGGTTTTTAAAAGATTTTATTTAGAACCAGAATCGTGATATTCGCTACAATTCGAAATCTTTAGTTTTTGGGCCAGCGTTGATCATGATCTGCTGTTGGACTTACATAACAGCGATTGGAATGAGAAGGTAAAATAAATTATGAACCATTTAGGCTAACCACTTCAAGTTTTGGAATTTATTTTCCAATTAAATGTAGATTTTATAAAGCATTCAACCTTGTATTAGCCTAGTATAAGTCTAGCTAGGTTATTTGACGTACTAACAATACTTTGAACTACGTAGAGCTTGAAGGAAATGATATTTAAATTAACACAATTTCAACGACTGAACCTTGATATTTAGCTCCAATTAGTTTGTTCTCAACTGTCAAAATATTGAGGCTGTTATGTCTGAGACATTTCAGAATTTGCAACCATACACAACTTGCGATAAAAGGCACAGAATGTTTTGATTTTGCACTAAAATTGAATTTGTGCTGTTTATTAGAATCGATTCGGGTGTGGTGTGTTATAAATTTAGAATAATGCTACAACTTAGAATTCGATATTAGTATCGAAACAGACAGAAGTATTTCAGAAGTAACATTGTAATCAGTACCTAAATCATTACGCGCAATAATTTCTAATAGGAATGTGACAGACGTCACTGACGATAGAGCGGCAGTCATCAGTGATAACCTTCATTTCTGCCAATTGACGTCAATTGATTGATAACTCCGGTGCAAGTAAACAAAAAGATACATTAGAATGATCAATTGCCGTAACCCAAGACCTTAGACCTCTGAGTGCGCAAATTGATGTGGATATGCTCCATGCACAGAGATTATAATGTACTCTGTCATTATTTTTTACATCTGCCATATGGCCTCTGTCTCAAAAGGTCGTTTGGTCAAATTCTCTCGATATCATTCTAATGAAAGATGTAAAATTCCTAACCATTAACCATTTATAGCATGATGCCGAATAAATGCGTTTTCTTTCTTCTAATGTTTAAACTGGCGCCAGTTCATAGTGTCTTTAGCCTTTCAATTTGTCTTAAAACCTTCAATTTACTTGGAAACTACGACATTTTGAACATATTATATGACTCAATGTTTTCTAACAATAAAGTATCTAGTAAAATAGCTTGTAGATATTCTATCTCGCTATAAACCTTGCAAAACATGTTAGCTTACTCATAATACCAAGAAAATGACATTCTAACATCTTTTATGTAATCCCCCACGTGTTTTGGTGCTCAAAAATATGTAAACAGTAGGTGTTGTAAGTTGGGCTGTGGCCGGAAAAGGTACGCATGCTTTATGTAGTATGTCTTCATAAATTGTGTAAACTTGGGTTTATCGAGTCTTTAAAATATTTAAGCCCCAAAATTCCTCTCTTAAAACAATCTTATGAAATCTTAGTCATCAGTTTAGGATTTAGAACCTTAAGATGCACTTGAGCAGTACAATTTTGTTTCAAAATAGATCGTCATATCTCTAACCACACTTTAAATTCTGCTTCATTGTCCATTCTAGATACAGTGTATATGTGCACAGGAAATTGTAAGACACAATAGTATCTTTTCTCATAACTCTTTAGGTTGTTAGGTTTAAACAACCTGCATGAATCAGATGGTCGAACGCGCTATAAAGGTAAACCACATCAGCACAGAATGGTCAGGGATTTATGTTATAGCCGTCTTGGTCACAGTTTGTTTTAGATTAAGATATCTTCTTCTGACTCTTTGCTTTGAAGAATTTTATAGTTTCAGTTTTATGAAGAGTTATAATTTTTGAGCAAAATTATTTGAAAATAGGTTAGTTTAGCACCGAGATCAAGAGGTATACATTGAAGTGCGTTAAGGTAAAAAAAAATGTGAAAGGTCTCAACAATTTTGAAAGGTCATGGATCACATAATTATGGACTTCCCAAATATCTGGTAATGGCCAAATTTCTTAGTTAGTTTTAAAGCGTTAACCACGAAATAGTAATACATGTTGCGTGCAAACACATTTAACTGATCGGATATTGCGTTCCGATGCGTGAGTCAATCTTTCGATAGGCGCTCCAATTCTGCGTAGCGATTTGTTCCCCGAATAGACGCGTGCGCAGGTTTTAGACTGTTTTAATTTTCTTGTAAAACATAGTTATTTTTTTGGGATAGTTAAATTTGTAAAAGAAATTTGTAAAAGAAAGAAATAAGGAGGCTGAGTCACCTTCGTCCGTAGGAGAGCACCCCAAAATCAATATCCCTACACGTGGCCTCTGGGTGGTGCTAACCAGGTGACACTTTGGTGGTAGGCTTCGGCCGCCGGCTTTATGACCACCCATCGAGCAAAAGCGTGTCGCCAAGCGGCCCAGCCGTGTTCCGCCACGATGCTCGGTGACGCCGTATGAGAGGATGGGTCGAGATGGTTGTTCCACTGTAGGATAGCCGGTCTGGCGCGCGCTGGTGTAGCTACACCGGGTGTCCAGTCGCGGAGGGTAGCGGGATCCGAGGCACGGTGCACCGCTGGCCGACCGCAGATAGTTGGGGGCCCAACTAGCGTGCTAGCCACACGTGAAAGGCTGCCCCGCCATCTAGCGAAAAATCCCATGGATACGCCATCGTGCCGGTTGGCGACCGGAGGAGAGGGCCCGATGGATATTCGTGGGGGGGCTCGGGCGTCCCCGCAGTCTCCAGACTGGCCTCCCAATGGTGTGGTTAACTACGGTGCGCGTCGTGGGGTCGCCTGCGTGGGGGACCATTTCACTGCCATCCTCTCAGCAACCTTCCACTCTACATTATGACACTGAGAAATAAGAAAAGGGTTCAACAGCGGCTGCACTCCCTCTCCTACATAGTGCACCTCTCAAATATTCGAGGTTTGCACTCTAATGTCAATGCGGTCCATCACCACCTCGAGACCGAGAACCCTACACTCTTGTTTCTCTCGGAGACCCAGATCAGGTGCCCGTCGGACGTATCCTACCTGAACTACCCTGGTTTTTCCCTGGAGCACAATTTTGTTCCGCATGCAGGTGTATGCGTATACGTCCGAGACGGCATCTGTTACCGGCGTCTCCGAAACCTTGAAGACCCAAGCTTTTCTGCTCTCTGGATACTGGTGGACATAGGCATGGAGAAAATTCTTTATGCCTGTGTCTATCGGTCGCACAGCGGAGATTTGGAGGCGACCAGATTAGCGCAATACCTCGGCGAAGCGGCGGATGCGGCTCGTCAGGCGTACCCTTCGGCCCAGTTGGTGTTACTGGGGGACTTTAACGCTCATCATCAGGAGTGGTTATTCCCATACCAGTGCACCGACCATGCTGGAAGGGAAATGCGTAAGCTTGCGCTTTCGCTTGGCCTGACCCAGCTGGTCCAGGAAGCCACAAGGGTGCCCGATGTCGATACGCACACTGCCAATTGCTTAGACCTTCTGCTGACAACTGATCCAGACCGCTACTCGGTGACAGTCTCATCACCTCTAGGTAGCTCTGACCACTGTCTGGTGAAATCTGTATCGACACACTCCCCACCAGATCCGAGTCCCAGAGGACCTCGGCGGATGTGGCGATACAAGTCAGCGGACTGGGATGGGATGCGATCTTTTTTCGCTTCCTATCCTTGGCGGCCTGTCTGCTTCTCTTCTGATGACCCGTCAGCTTGTGCGGAAGCCGTAACGGGGGTGCTGCGCCAGGGCATGGAATACTACATTCCATTCTCGGACGTGGCATCCTCTGGTGGGACCCGTCCTTGGTTCGATGCCGACTGCGGACGTGCCGAAGCGCAAAAGCAGGCGGCATACTTGGCATGGGCGGATGCCAGGCGCCGTAGGGCTGATGACATTCATCAAAAGAAGAGAGCCTTTAATCGGGCTGCCAAGTCATGCAAAAAGGCATTACGGATGGCTCGATTTAACCACATTGGCCGTATAGGGAACAAACTAGCTTCCTACCCAGCGGGAAGTAAAGCTTTTTGGTCCCTGGCCAAGGCGGTTGAATCGAACTTCTGTCGCTCCTCACTTCCTCCGCTCCTGAGGTCTGACGGGACGCTGGCTCACACTGCGGTAGAGAAAGCAAATCTATTTGCTTCTCTATTTGCGGAGTCTTCGCGTCTTGACACTGGTGGCGCCTTGCCTCCTTCTGTTAATAGCGTATGCAAGACGAATATGTCGCAAATTCGCATTCGACAGAGGGAGGTATATAGGACGCTACGCGATCTGGACGTGAACAAGGCCAGTGGTCCCGACGGAATCCCAGCCCTGGTTTTAAAAACCTGTGCGCCTGAGTTGTCTCCAATCTTGACACGTCTGTTTCGCCTTTCCTTGGAGACGGGTCTAGTACCGGTTGCTTGGAAGCTGGCCAACGTACAGCCTGTGCCTAAAAAAGGTAGTCGTGCCGACCCTAACAATTACCGCCCTATTTCGGTCACGTCCATACTCTGCAAGAGCATGGAACGTGTTCTTAACAATAGACTCCTGGCATACCTTGAAGGTAACGATCTCCTCAGCGATCGGCAATACGGGTTTCGACGTAACCGATCGACTGGGGACCTTCTTGCGTATGCCACTCACATATGGAGCGAGGCCATAGAGGGGCACGGAGAGGCACTAGCAGTCTCCCTCGATATTTCGAAGGCCTTTGACAGGGTATGGCACGACAGTCTAATCGGCAAGCTTCCTGCATATGGACTTCCTACTGGTCTGTGCAGATGGATAGCAGACTTTCTGAGGGATCGGTCAATACGAGTAGTCATCGATGGCTGCTCGTCTGACCAATTCGGTATTAATGCCGGCGTCCCTCAGGGGTCAGTACTTTCAGCGACGCTCTTTTTGCTGCACATAAACGACCTGCTTAAGCCCGGTATCTTTGGGTATGCAGATGACAGCACAGTTGTTGAAAGGTATGTGTCCGGTGCGCGGACTAGCGGAACACAGATCCAGTCTTTAAGAGAATCCATGGTCGAACGTTTGAACTCGACCTTGAAGGCGGTGTCCGACTGGGGTGACGCCAACTTGGTTAGGTTCAATGCTAGCAAGACCCAGGCGTGTCTATTCTCCGCCAAACGGAGTCAATTTCCGCTGACTCCTACTTTCCGGAATGTATCCGTACCGATAACCGATCGTCTTGAGCTTCTTGGTGTAACTCTGACGCCCACGCTCAACTTTGGCTCCTATATAGAGTCAAAAGCGCAACTGGCTGGTAGGAAGTTGGGTGTCCTTTGGAGGGTGAGACGGTACTTCACGCCGAAACAATTGCTGAGCCTGTACCAAGCACAGGTTCGGTCCTGTATGGAGTACTGCTCTCATCTTTGGGACGGCTCGGCTAAATATCAGCTGGACGCGTTAGAGCACATTGAGAGGCGTGCCAGGAGGCTCATCGACGATGATGCGCTTGTGAAGGCTCGGCTTCAAAGCCTCGAACACAGGCGTAAGGTTGCAAGCCTTTCGGTTTTCTACCGGATACATTTCGGGGAGTGTGCGGGGGAATTGCACAACTTGATTCCCCCTAGTCCTTTCCATCATCGTACCACAAGACAATCCGCGAAGCGTCACCGATTCATGGTAGATGTTCCGCCCACACGCACGAAGCGCTTTGCTTCAAGCTTCCTTGTGCGTACTGCTAAAGAGTGGAATTCTTTGCCAGAGTCTGTATTTCCTGAAGGGTATAACCTGGGAGTCTTCAAGGCCCGAGTGAATAGGTTGCTTATGGGACGACGTGCTCCAACGTAGACCGCATCATCGCTTACCAACAGGTGAGATAGTGGTCAAACGTCGCCCCATCAATTATAAAAAAAAAAAAAAAAAAAAAAAGGCAAAAAGATTTTCAGCCACAATTATAGAAATACTGATCTTAAATTTAAAATATGAAACGAAAGTAAAAAATATGCAGATCCTAAAGAATCCATCTTTTATGATCTCATAAACGATCGGCACGTCGTAAATCGGTATCGACACTTGATGCCCCATTTCATACTTTTAAGATAACAAAGACATCAGCAGTAAAGTTGTGCATATTGCACGTTTTACGAGAGTTTTATCATGGCAGATAGTGGAACAGGCTATCAAAGTCACTTAGCAGGAGATAGGGAACGTCTAGTCGACTTGCAAATCGTGTTGGTACTTGGTACTCTGGACCGATAGTAAGGACCGAAGTGCTTACTTGTGGACTTGGCTTTCAAAATGGTTATTTATTGTTAGGTAAAGCATTTATAAAGTGTTTTGTGGTTGATGTGTGATTCAGTAGGGATTGGTGTTGCTTATTTTTTAAAGATGTTTTCGTTTGCGGATGTCACCGATCAAGAAGTCCAAGAACCTATAAAAATTATTTTGCTATGGTTGCGATGTATTTCTTTATACCGTTTCGGAGAATACATACATGATTGTTACATGTCAATTTAGATTATCCTGTTTGGTATCGTTCGAGAAGGAAGTCTTCAACAAATTGCTAAAAGGTCAACTGAAGAACATTTCTATCTAGAACTTTTCCAGTGCACATGAATTTTAAATATAACATCCAGATTCCAGCGCAAACATTAACAAAGTAATTCAATTCAAACATGGCAGTCTACATGCGAGTGGCATAATAAAAATTCACCGACTTATCTCGAGTATAATAGTACAGAAGCCTCGCCACTACAGGGACGTGCAAGCATGTGCACACAATTAAAACAACACATTACCACCCAACAATGTTAAATCCAAGCAAAAATAATCCCTACTACACGAAGAATAAAGTGGACCCGATATTGAAGAAGCTGAAGCTATAAGTTTGCCAGTATACCTACATACTTAAGTCTAGTATGGACGCGTTTGCGCAAGGAAGATGTGACTAGCACTAGCTATACCCAAAGAGTGTAGCAATATGAATAAAATCGTGCTTACTAATTAGCAAATAAGCTTTCGTATAGAATTTTAATTGGAACGTCGCCTACGTAACCCAGAAACTGGCTATAATTGTTCTCGTTATTAATGATAAAATAACGGATTAATCTTTGTTATAACTTTGATCGATTGTGATATTGCGGTTAAAGATTTTAATGAGAACATTTAGGCGATGAAATCAATAACGAAATGAAAGGTTCAGATTTGATTGGGGTTGACAGAGAATTATCGCATTTTAGTACTTCTCATCAAGTCCTTCTGCTTATACGAAATAGTAAGCTTATTCCAACG